TGATTACTACCGACGTGTTGCAAATGTTAGCAAAAACGAGGAAGCGTCTGGGACATTTATTTCAATGAAATTGTATCGGATTAAGTGTGTTTATAATTGATGTTCTGTTCGTTCAGATAAGGATAATAAGTATACCTATAATTTTCGTAAAATATGAGAATTTCATTATAATATGCTTTCGAAATGTATTTCATGCCAAAACTTCGATTTATTGTTTTTGGCGCCACTAAAAAAGATGTTAGTTTTGCAATAAAGATTTATGATTTCATTTAATTTATAATTGCATACATGCTTGTAAACCAAAATGAATAATCTATTAAATATAATAATAACAATAATAATAATGATAATAATGATGAAAATGAATAGTGTTAAGGTGACGATATAGTTTAGTACTTTATTTATAGAATTCGTTTATGTAGATACTGAAATACTTGTACAGTCAGTAAGGCTATATTGAACTGTTTCATTACCAACAGAGTAAAATGGATAAAAACAGGAACTTGTTTAAATAATTAATACATAAATATATTAAAATTTAAATAATTTATTGAATAATTCAATAATTAATTTTCAGTGGATGCTTTTGTAATGTTAATATTCGGAATATTTTGAGACGTCTTGAAACTAAAGATCAAAGATTAAGAAGTGTTGAAACATTTAATAAGCCAAATACAAAATATATACCAAAATATACCAATATATTGGCATCTTAAAATTACAAGGTATATTCGTTTTAATACAATTATTAAAACTATTGAATAATTTTCTTGTTTGCATTTGTATTCACAAGTTGATATTTCTTAATTTTATACTACATACATTTTTTTATGGTCAGAAAAAAGATGTTCGACCCACAACACTTTAGCAAATGTACGTAGAAATGTAGTGGTACAACCGGACAGGGGCTGATTCTATGTCGAAAAATCATCATCAAATATCACCAAATATTTTATTCCATTTTTAAATCAACATATATTTCGCATACATGGTATTGACAATGCACTTACCAAAGTTATCTCCTCAACCCCTTGCCTTACAAAAACGCGTCAGACTCGTGATAAAGATTCTAAAGAGAATTTGACAAGGATAAATATTACTCAATCTTTTTAAATTTGAATTAAACATTATTCTTCTGTCATCAATTATTATACGTTAAAGCAAACATAGACATAGAATATGCCTAGAATTTCTTCTTCTTCCAATCATTAATAACAAAGTAATTGTATCGATCATAATTGAGAAATAAATCGTACAGCAAGGGGTTAATAAAATTATTTCTCAGATCGTCGAGTCTTGATATACCCTGACACGTATTTACTCGGATCTAACACAAGCAACGGTACCAGCAGTAAACACTTCTAATCTCCACTTTTTTTTATTCGCCCCCGTATAAATTCCTTAATAAGTTTACACGCGAGATAAACAAGATCTTCGTGTTCCCAAGTGTTTCTGGCGTGGACTGTACCGCGAGACTCGGCTCGAAGCCTGTACACGCATGGTGACGCGCGAGTAACGTACTCATATGCGAGACTTAATTTGTGGTTTTGCGATGTGTGTGGACGCGTACGTACGTACATGTGCAGAGCCGGGAAGATAAGAGGTGTACGTGTGAATGGGCAATGCGTCACCTTGAAAAGGAGTAAATACAGAAATAACGTGCACGATGTAAGTACACACTCACCATGTAACGGATGTACACATTGTCCGGCGTGAGTATATGTGCGCATATAATTACACCGCGAATTATTCTGAATGTTACGACTTAACCCTTTCGCCCCAAATGGTACACATACACCGAGTAATAAGAGTATTCCTACCTGTTGAGCGGCCGAATTTAACACTAACACTGCCAGATGGATCAAACTGACCCATTCCTGATTTATTTTGCAGTTATTAGAAACAGATGTTTCTCTGAGAAATTATGAAAGAAACTGATGTAGCAATACGCAAACTGAGTTGAAGATCAATTAAAGTCTAAATAGATGCATTCTTGAAGTTTCTATAGAGGAATTTCAGAAAGTCAATTTAACTGTTCGGTGGGTTTAGCGTTAAACGATTAAAATTTGTTTACAATGCAAGTTTCAAAGTTCTTATCGACAGGAATGTATGTTGGAATTACGAAGCATTGACACTTATATATGAGGTAAAAGCAGCAATAGTTGATCAGTTCAGAAATATGTTCTTCATGAATAATAGTAAACGCTTGCTCCGTTATTAAATATAGGGACTCTATGCGTGAAAAGGCTGCCTGAACTTCTAAAAAGCAAACTTTTTTGAAATAATTATATTATCCAAATGTTATAGGCACTTTTGAAAGTTTAAAACTAGCATTAAAAGTTGACCATTCTTCGAAACGAGAAAACTAGTAATTGACCATATTAGTTAGCAGTTGACCACTTATAATAAAATCAAAGACACTAAAGATGATTACTTTAATATCGTTTATTTCCAACGATCATGAGAAATTACAAGCAAAGGGACAAATACGAATAAAAAGAAGTTGATTCCATGCAGGAAATTGGAGGCATACAATCAACGTCAATGAAATAAATTGTTAGCTTTTACAATAAAAAATTTAATTCAAGTCTTGGTTAGGTGTTGGGTCTGTAGATGCTGCAGCATATCTGTCGCGCCTTTATCGAAAGATTATTACTTTTGAAAGCCTATTTTTGACGTTTTTCTAAAAAATGGCCAACTACTAATAGCAGGTCAATTACTAGTACCTTTACGTTATACTTTAATGCAAAACAATATGTCAATATAACAAAAATATCATGTTACGTAAACAGAAAGAAAATTGGTCGCACAAGCCTAACGATTTAGATTGTCTCAAAAGTATTATAAAATTCAAAGAGGGCCCAACCAAATATTAGTTATTAATACATTAATTGTATTTTTAGTATAACTTGTATAGGTACGAAAATTCTTGTGAGGCAAATTTTATTTACATAAAATTACATTTTTGTTATGTTGACATGTCGTTTTACAATAAAGCTTATGTAAATTTAAAAACTTCGCAATTCCAACATATATTCCTGATAGGAACTTTGAAACTAGCATTGTAAGCAAATATCAATCGTATAAATTCGGCAGTTCAAGAGGTACTTAAAACTAATGAAAAATCTGATGAGTTTCTTAATGATTAAAATAGACTGTGACTCACATGAAAACAATTCTACGACGAGGACTAGATAATGATATGGAAGATGATCGTGCAATGTTTCATTCAAATCATTGGAGTTTGAAATATTATTAGCGCTAGTTTGAAAAGGTAACGCTGAGAAAGCAAAGATTAAAGTTTCAGATATACATATGTAAATTGCTGCAAGACGAAAATATTTTCTTGTATTTACCAAGAACCGACAGTTCCAAGATTATAGAACTGCCTTGTCTCCAGCGTTGTAGTTTATGTTAATTGCATTGCTTCTTCGTTGTTTTCAATTAATTTTAGCTTTTGTTACTGCACCTGTTATTTCTTGTACAGAACGACTGCATCACCTTTCATTTTCTAACAATGCTCATCAATGAGAAATCAGGCCACTAGAAATCTACGTAACTTTCATCATTTTGAGTAATTACATTGTGTTTTCGTTAATTATAGAATCAGCGATATTAGCAACAATTTCAATGATTTTATCGCTATTTATTCCGTCGAGGTCAGTTTTCTAAATCGAGTTACGTAAATTCTGATTAATATTTTTTGTGTATCTTTCCGTGTGACTCCAAGGATTCGAAGAGCTTCTAAAGCTGACGAGATAACTTACTGACTGCTTTCCCTCAACTAGTTTTAAGAATATTTGAGCATGAAAAATTAATTAAAAAAATTTTATTTCTATATTAGCTCTGATTAAAAAGAAGGCAATTAAAATCATTTTAAAAATGTTAAATATTATAGTAAACCATCGTAAATATTTTAAATGCTGTAATTAAAATAACATATTAAATGTTTTCAATGTACATACTTTACTTATAAAGACCTATATTACCTTCAGATAAAAATCAATGAAACGTAATATAACTTAATTCGCGAACACTTCGAGTAATGGAAATACGAGTTAACCATTCGCACTCGTATGTCACGCTAGAGATGACAATACAAATTTGTTATACAACTCATATGTCATGCTAGAGCTGACAAAACTAATTTACTCTAAAACACGCACGTCACGTTGAAAATTGCTTAAAAAAGAACCACACTGTAAATGATTGTAAAAATTGAATCTTATTACAATAATAATAAAAAAAAATAAATATGGAACGTTGTATTCTACTGTAAATTACTTTCATTAATTCCCCTAAAAATAAATATAAGTTTACATACAACAACATTGAAAATAAATCGAGTGCAAAGGGTTAGCTCGTGACAGGTCATCACGGTGTTAAGTGTTCATCAACTGTCAGTACATATATTTTGGTTGGTAAGTTTTTTTCATAAAATTCATATTAAAAAAGAATACATATTCAGGGACGAAAGGATTAAACATTTCTCATGTGATTAAGAAGAAGAAGATATTTAAGTGTTCTTTCAGCTGAAATATCATGTGCTCCCTAATGAACGCGTTTTCTCAATCCCTTTATAATGACATCGTTATCTCTACCGTATGATTGAACTTTCGTTACTTCTCATTCGTTCGTGATTGTCTCTGCTTGTCTCGGTTGGCAAGACAGAACCGAGTTGTCAGACAATAAAACACACCAAAGTCGTAAGTGGTCAGAGAAAATTTGGTAAGGACAAAGGCATGTTTTCGATTCATGAAAAGCACTGTGCTGAGCGGAAAAAAGAGTGGACGAAGGAAATCTACATACAGGGTGAATTGTTTAATCGTACCACCAGAATTTATTTGTTGGGTGAAGAAAATGTTCGAAACAGAAGTTCTTTTTTTATATTTGCATTTACTTTAAGGTGGTCACATTAACAGGAAAGTCATTAGTGACTACTAACATTTGGATACATTACTTTTTACTTAAAAGTACTTAATATATAATACAAGATTTTCGGCATAGACGTAACTTATTTGTAAGGGATTCACAAGGTTAGTTTGTCTGAAGAACTAATTCTTGCCTCATTGAACTATACGTCGAGTATTTTATTCAAAAGCATTCTATTGTCTTTTAGTTTACTTATTTGTAATACTCATGTGGACACTATAATTTAAATGTCTCGTTGAGAAGAAGTAAAACGAGATTTTTTGGCCAACCTAATACTAATATTATTAATATTATTATTAATACTATTATTAACTTCAGTCGCCAGTATTGGAAGAATTATTCTAAAAAACATTGTAACTGTTAAAATTACAAAATTTTATTTTTTCATTATCCTGTAGTATAGTATATAAGCGCAATTTTTCCTTGTGTAAGTAGTCATCAATTATTTAAATACATTTGAAATGCCAGTCATAGAAACTAGATAAGGGATTAGCTAAGGATCTAAATATAGAAACTAGGGGAACATATTATAATAATAAAATGCTTTAAGATGTAGTTGATAATTTACCAGTTATGACTAACTATCTTGTTTATGAATTTTTATCATTTATTTTAAACAGCCTTAAACCGAGGTGACATACATCTTGCGTAAGAATGACTCCATGGTTAACACGTTGACCGCCACGAGAATTCAGAACGTTTCGCATAATATTACTTATCGCATTGTACAATAACAAAGGCAAATGGTATTAGAATTAGGTATTAATGGCTTGTTATCATATTTCTTAAGTTATATTGTTATTTAATTACTCATGTTACAAAACATTTTAATTCTATATCAGTCTTCTTCATGTAATTATTTTTTAGTAATTTGGCCTCTAGTCATCGGTGACCACCGTGGCGGCCAACGTATTAACACTTCGGCAACCGCCTGAAAAAAGAACTACTTACAACTGGAAGTTAATGAAAAAGGTTACTATATTTTTATATATTATAAATTTGAATATATATCTCCCACTTTTGCCCTAATAACGAAATGTCATTTATGTTGTTTATTTTTTCTTTTTGATTATTCAGTAAATCTTTAATCGGGAATATTTGCAGTTCAAAACACCTTTTTTGCTTTGGTAAAACAATTTTTAAGGAAATCCGTTAAATGAGTTCAATTGAAGTTAATGATAGAGGTTAAATTGAATTCATTTAACGGATTTTATTAAAAATTGTGTTTTATCAATTTATAGCAGTTTTATTAAACTGCAAATATTCCCGATTAAAGATTTACTGAATAATCAAAAGGAAAAAATAAACAACATAAATGACACATCGTTGTTAAGGCAAAAGTGGGAGATATATATTAAAATTTAAATAATTCATTGCATAATTCAATAATTACGTTTCAGTGGATGTTTTTGTAATGTTAATATTCGGAATATTTTGGGACGTCTTGTAACTAGAGATCAAAGAATAAGAAGTGTTGAAATATTTAATAAGCTAAATACAAAATAAAATTTGCATAAACGATTATTTTCTGTTGGATAAGGTATTCATTTCTCTAATTCCTATCTTTAACTATTTTCAACTACGTTGAATTCTCAAAATTTCATTTCTCATTTCAAAACTCAAGATGTAAGTAAACAAACAGAAATGAAAATTCAAATTCTTGAATCTTCGATGAATTTCTTAATAGAATTGTATTAAAAAATGAATAGAATTAATCTCAACACTCCTTCATTACAATCGATCATAAAACGAAATTGAATGTTCATTAAATAGTCACGATTATTAATCTAGGCAAAATTAATTAAGGCAAAAGTGGGAGATCTCCCCATTCGGTTGGTTAAGTGTTAACACTAACAATAGAGCAGTTAAATTGACTTTCCGAAATTTCTCTATAGAAACCCCAAAAGCACATCTGTCGAGACTTCAGTTGATTTACAATTTAGTTTTCGTATTGCTACATCAATTTCTTTAATAATTTCTCAGAGAAACATCTGTTATTTTGTTAATAATTACAAGAAGAAGAAATCAGAAATGGGTCATTTTGAGCCGTCTAGTAGTTTCAGTGTTAAACGCCTCGGAAATGATAAAAGAATAAGCTGTTTTCGAAGGTAGAATATTTTTCGAAACACGTAACGACTGGCAATAAATGTGTGCACCCATTTACGCGCGGTATTATAAATCGGCAAATGCATATGTAGGTAATCATCAGGTCATTATCTGCCACGGATAATTGCGAAGACCAGTTTATGTGAATCACCCGATATACGTATTTATCTAGACGATGAACAAATGTATAATTACAGCTTCAGTCCGCGTAAAATGTGCGCGTTTGGATGACTTTAACGACGCTTAATGATCATCAATTACACAAATAAAAAAAAAAGGAAAATTATTCTACTCCTTAACCTATTCAATTAACAGCGAGTATGCTGTTCGCGAAGATTGTGTTTGTGAAGCAAAGAAACGTAAGCCACATTGTGACTTACTAAGATCACTTTATGTTTACAGCATAGGATTAGTTCAGACCTAAAAAGTAAAATCTGTTTTTCATAGAGAAGGCATGTCAAAGTAATTCTTTCTTATCGAAATAGGTAATATTGTCAATACTGTCTCAATAGTTATTATAAATGATCAACTATGATAGAATAAATAGAAACGAACTAATAGTAGATACATAATCATTTGTTAAAACCATAATCTAATATTTATAATGGTTAATAACTATATTATATGTAGTATACGGTATTACAGTATTATTTGTGTATAGTGTATTATTTTATATGAATTTATTGTAATTTCAATACATTGTAAC